GCTCCCGAGATAGGTCGATCTTCCACTCAGTCATTCATTCATATATCTGTGGCCATGAGCAATAACCGCCTAAGTCGAAAAACCTGATTTCGAGAAAAAATGTTTTAAACATTTGGATTATAATGTTAACCTTATGGGGAAACCAAAATATGTTCGTCTTTAACCTTTTAAATAGGCTGGCTGGCGAGATGGGGATTTCACATACACATGGAAGGAATAGTAGTTGAAGAATACCATAGCATATATAACTCAATTCTTTCTTAAGTCTACTTAGGCGTTTACTGCTTATGACCACAGATATTGTATGTATTATATTCTTCCCGATAAAAATAATAATAAAGTTACATTTGAGCAAAATATGTATCTATTATTGTTTTTCTTGTTTGGTCATTTCGAGAACGTCCTTCATTTGAGCGGTTTGGTGGAACTGTTAAAACATTAGTTACGGCATCATCAATTTCCGGTACAAGTTGTGGTGCAGTTTTATCATTAAAGCGAATGCAAACATTATTCAGTACTGCTGTTGCAACAATAATGTAAGGAACTGTCGTGACCTTCATTCGAATCCCCATGGATAGCACGGGAAATCTGCGCTTCCACACACCGTATGAGCGCTCAATATAATTTCGAGTTCTGATGTGCGACTCATTATACAGATTTTCTACAATTTAAAAGCGGCGTCAACACGACGTTCGTGTTTTCATAACCACTGTCAGCAACAATGACTGCATTTAGAAATTCCTTCGCCTCCAATCGGTAGCAAATACGCGAATTACGGAAAATCCTTGAGTCATGAACCGATCCTGGCCATCGGGCAACAATGTCTAATATTTTTAAATTGCTATCACATATGGTTTGCACATTGAACGAGAAAAAACCCTTTCTGTTACGAAAGACTTCACCATCATCACCTCCTGTATAGAAATGGTGCTATTACTATTGTTTTTTAACTAGTAATCTTACATAATCACCTGGCGACATGATTTTAACATGGGTGCAATCCATTGCGCCAATTACACGCGGAAAATTTGAAATTTCTTTAAAAGCAGCCTGTGTGCTCAAACGCTCCTGTTCCGTCTGAGGGAGTTTAACAAAATCTGCCCGTAAAGAAGCAATATGATGAGATACAAGTTTAATAGCCCGTGATGCACTTGTTTTTGAAACGCCGCAAAGATCTGCCACAGTTTGCTGAAAAGATCCTGATGCATAGAACCTGAGTGTAATGAAAAACATTTGATGTGGTTGCATAGCGTTGTTGCTGCCAATGGAAAAGTAATTTAGGAAAAAAACATTTACATTCGTCAAATGATATGATCTTACCGTGTTCCAATATAAATTTTTTCTTTTATTAAAGAAAAAATAAACCAAGCAGCATCTTTGCACATACGAAATCGATCACGAAAATCAACATCATCGTAATAATGAAAAAAATTAGGACGTTCTTTTATTTTTCTTTTTCGTCGAAGAACGATTACTTGTAGAACATCAAAATCGAAATCACTTTCATCTGAATCTACAAAATCCATTATTATTTACAAAAATTTACATTTAACACAGAAATATAAACCACTTCAAATAAAGACGCCAAGATTATTATAGCGGGGTTGCTATAGCTGTACAAACGAAATAAGTACTATTTCTTCCATTTACATTGTGCACTACAGCAACACTGTCGTAAGTCAAGAATAAGCCAACTAAAGGGTAAGCTAACTTTCGGCTTAGGTTAGCCTAAATGGTGAAAATGAATAAGCCCAAAAAATGGCTTAACTAAGTTAAGTTGAGTTGGAGAAACCAGCCCTAATGGTTTCATCCAGCGATTAATTATGGTATTATCGAAATTCCTAATTAAAAAAAATATTATTTACTACATGTCTCGCAGATATGCCTTGAGGAGAGATCCCTTAGGCAGTTTGTCTTCATTCACTTCCTTTTCACTTAAGGTTTCAGTATTCCCCAATTCTCCACCGATATTATTTATACTCAGAATGCTAATGCTGCCAGGGTTGCGTGATTTTAAATCATTTTTGATTTAATATCCGCTTTTAATTAACAAAGATAAGTTTTATTTGTGATTTGCTTGGTCAACCAAATAAAAGATAAGTTTTAATTAGTGATTTGATACGTCACCCAAATAAAAAATAAATTTTATTTGTGATTTGATTCGTCAGAAATCAAATTGATTGCCATTTGAATCGTCCTCCAAATCAGAAATTAAATTTATTTGTGATTTGATTTGTACAGCGAATCATTTGATTTGGTATTTTTCAACTAAATAATACTCTTTTATGCAATGCAACCACTTCGGTATTTTTGGGACAATTTCGGGTTTTTCGAGAGTACTTCGAAATTTTCGGGTTCTCGGGGCTATTTCGGGATCTTCGGGATTTTTGCGACCAATTTGGAATTTTTGGAACTATTTCGGGTATTTTCGGAGCTCTCGGGACTAAATCGGAATCTTCGGGATTTTTGGGAGCAATTCGGAATTTTTCTACTACTTAGAGATTTAGGAGGTTCTCGGGAATATATCGGGATTTCTTCGGGATATTCAGGACTATCTTGAGTTTTTCGATACTACTTCGAGATTTTCGAGAACCTCAGGATTTTAGGGACTACTTCGAGATTTTTGGGACTATGTCGGGTTTTTAGAAACTACTTAGAGTCTTTCGGGGTTCTCGGGGAATATAGCGGGATTTTTGAAACTATTTTTGTATTTTTGAACTATTTCGGGATTTTCAGGACTATTCCGGGTTTTTTGCGACTATTTCGAGATTTTCGGGATCTTCGGGACTTTATCGGGATTCCTGGGAAATTTCTTGAATTTCCGGAACTATATCGGGATTTTTGGGACTATTTGGTATTTTTGGGACTATTTGGTATTTTTGGGACAACTTCGAGATTTTCGGGGTTCTCGCGAATATATCGGGATCTTCGGGCTACTTCGGGATTTTGGGACTAATTCGGAGTTTTTGGAACTCCTTCGGGTTTTAGAGACTTCTTCGGGATTTTCCGGATTTGGGGACTAATTTGGTTTTTTGTGGTATTTCATGATTTTGGATTTCTCGAGACTATTCCGGGTTTTTCGAAACTACTTCGAGATTTTCGGGGTTGTCGGTACTATATCGGGATCTTCGGGACTACTTTGGGATTTTTGGGACTAGTTCGGAATTTTTGAGACAACTTCGTTATTTTCGGAGGAATATATCGCGGGAATATATCGGGACTTTTGGAGCCATTTCGGGATTGCTGGACTACTTCGAGATATATTCGGGATTTTCAGGACTATTCCGGGTTTTAGAGACTACTTGGGGATTTTCGGGGTTCTCGGGACTATATCAGGATCTTCGGGACTACTTCGGTATTTTTGGGACCAATTTAGAATTTTTGGGACTATTTCGGGATCTGCGGGACTACTTCGGAATTTTTTGACTATTTCAGGATTTTCGAGACTTCTTCGGTCGAAAAATTCCGAAGTAGTCCCGCAGATCCCGATTTAGAGCCGAGAATCCCGAAAATCTCTAAGTAGTCTCGATAAGCTCGAAATAGTCCTAAAAATCCTGAAAATCCCGAAGAAGTTTCGTAAATCCCGAAAAAGTCTCGAAAATCCCCAATCTCGAAATTGTCTAAAAATCCTGATATAATCCCGAGAACACCGAAAATCCTGAAGTAGTATCGAAAAACCAGAAATAGTTCCAAAAATTCCGAAATGGTCCCAAAAATCCTGAAGTAGCCCGAAGATCTCGATATATTCGCGAGAACCCCCAAAATCTCGAAGTTGTCCCAAAAATACCAAATAGTCACGAACATATGTTTGTGATCAGCTGGCTTTCTACTTGCAAGTTTTCGCAGCTAAAAACTTTTCCTGCGAAAATTATCTCAATGTCATTTTGCGCTCCCAATTTCCCTTACTTTGC